TAACCTTAAGAAGTCCATTGCCTACACCTTGACCAGCAACATCCCAGAGATCACCCCCTTCCTGCTGTTCATCATTGTCAACATCCCCCTGCCACTTGGAACCATCACCATCCTCTGTATTGACCTGGGAACAGACATGGTGAGATCTGATCAAACACTCACTGTCTTCTTACGACAAACGCAGCTTTCACTAAATCTCTATCTCATCACTGAAAACAGCTCCCGTTGATAGGACACATCTTAATGTACTAAAAGTTCCCATTTCTCCCTCGTCCCTCAGGTGCCAGCCATCTCACTGGCTTATGAAGCAGCAGAGAGCGACATCATGAAGCGTCAGCCCAGGAACCCATTCAGGGACAAGCTGGTGAATGAGAGGCTTATCAGCATTGCCTATGGACAAATTGGTAAGTGAAATGGAGATGGCTGCCGCTGATCCAAGCTCGGAATTGTCTTTGATCTGGATTGAAGTTTGATCCTAGTTGCCTGAAAGTCATTTTGTGTTTAAATCAATCTTTATCCACCTTTCATTGTTCACAAACAACAGCTGGATTATCTTTGGACCTATCTGTAATGTTTTTAGGGAAAACTAAATTAAAAAAAGTAAAAAACCTGTAACTTAATCTCTGTGTCTGTGTGTTTTGTCCTCAGGTATGATCCAGGCTCTTGGAGGCTTCTTCGCCTACTTTGTCATCTTGGCTGAAAATGGTTTCCTGCCCACTACACTAGTAGGCATCAGGCTCAATTGGGACGACCGCTCTTGCAACGACCTGGAAGACACCTACGGGCAGCAATGGGTTAGTGTGTAGTTTCTATGTGTTTAAGGGAACTTTTAGGTGTTTTCTTGTTTTGTTACTTTATCTTACTGGTTCTGCCCTCTCTTGCCCTCAGACATACGAGCAGAGGAAGATTGTAGAGTTCACATGCCACACAGCCTTCTTTGTCAGTATTGTAGTCGTGCAGTGGGCCGATGTCATCATCTGCAAGACCAGGCGTAACTCTGTGTTCCAGCAGGGCATGAGGTGAGTCCAAATTTACTGTGATACCGATATACTTAAATGTGTCCTTTCAGTAATTTGTCTTTTTATATGATCTGAATTAGAGTAACATGTATATAACATTTGTTGTGTGTCTCCACCCAGGAACAAGATCCTGATCTTTGGCCTGTTTGAAGAGACAGCCTTGGCTGCCTTCCTGTCCTATTGCCCAGGCATGGATGTGGCACTCAGGATGTATCCACTAAAGTGAGTGCCACATGTATCACATGGATACATATGCAGTCACTCTGGTTCCAAGACATATTGTGTCATATCTGTTTACTTGATTATTTTTAATCCTTGTTGTTCTCTTGTCTTGCCCACAGACCTAGCTGGTGGTTTTGTGCGTTCCCCTATAGTTTTCTCATCTTTGTCTATGATGAGGTCCGAAAACTTCTCATTCGTAGGAACCCTGGAGGTACGTTTATAGCATTTAGAGGATCTATTGGCATAAATGGAATCAAATATATAATGGTTTTGTTATCGTTGGACAGAGCAAGCCTAACTGTTTACCCGTTTCCAGTCTTTGTTCTAAGCTATGCTAACTGACTGCTGGCAGTACCTAGTCCTTTAACTAATGCTAATTCAATGGAAAATCTGCATAAAATATGACTTGAAAACACTGAATTGACTGTGAACTTGTCTGTGCTTTTCTTTCTCTCATTTACACTCCAGGTTGGGTCGAAAGGGAGACATACTATTGATCAATGGAGCATCTTTGCTCAAGCCCCCTACATGTTCCACTTATTTCTCCTCCCTGTCACTCCATCCTTGGCCAGACACACCGTCAGATGCCCCGCCCCCTTAAAGACAAAAAAACGCTTTGAAGCAATTTTCATCACAACCGCCCCAAAGATTAAAAACAGCAAAAGCACCTTTACAACTTTCTACATTGACCCACCCCCATTTCTCCCTATCTCCTATGATACTCTTTGCATGTGTTCTCTCACTGCTGTGTACATAAACAAATATATCTACTAAACGGCAGCTGCATATTGTGTATGTAGATTTGAATGAGCTAAGGATACGAAGGGCGTGTCCATGCTCTGCAAAAAAGGGCCATCCAGCTCCTTCCCCCTCCCTGTTCTCCCCCTGCTCTCTCCCCCCCTCGTCTGTCTCTGTACCTTCGTTCCCCTCTCTCTTTTCCCTCCTCGCCAACCCTTTGCTTGTCCTCCAATCACACAAAGATGTAAAGATCACACAGTGAGACCCCCGCCGCAGACACCACTTCGACTGCCACCTCTCGCCTCCGTCTCCTGTCTGTGGAGAACCAGCGGAGTGGTCATCTCCCTGTCGTTCTCGCTACGTCCATCTTCCTTCTATTCCGTTCTCAACGGCCACAGTGTTGTTGTTTTTTTAATATGTGGGGTACGGGGGGTTTCGATGATTTTACTTGTCTTTTTTATTTCCAAGACGGGAGGGGGGGTACGTGAGAGCTGCTTTTCCTCATTTAGGCCTAACAAAGCACACCCCATGGCGTCCTGTTCCCCCTCTCTTCCCCCCTCTGTCTCTCACACTCCTCCCCTCCCCTCCCTCCTGCCCCATTTGTCTCTGTTTGTGTGCACTGTGTGAACCATTGTCCTTGTTAATAACTATTACAGTACACCCCCCCTCCCCCCAAGTTGGTAAATACAACTCAATCTTTCTGTGTGCTCTAGGAAATCTATATAATTCTATACTGAATTTAAATGAAACAATAAAAAACATGTTGGAAAAACAGCTCGAGAGAGAAATTCATGAAGAATAACATCAACGATATTGGTGAAATAGGAAAAAGCGGGAGATATGTCTCTCTGTTTCTGTTTTTTATTTGGGTTCAGTTGTTTTTGCCGGTTTTTCAGGAGGCTATTCTAAAACTGTAACAGCAGAGCAGAGTTTTAAGATTGTGTTTTTACCAAAAGACACAAGACACCAACCAAGGCTTTCAAGTCCTCGCCACTGCGGGTGTGCCGATATGATATCATGTGGTGAGTGGTGATGATGAGACCATGCGCCTGCGGTCTGTTACCGGATCGGGTCCAACCCCGGTTCGGTCCAGGTCCTGGTATAGCTCGTTCTGGCCCGGATCTGTGTGCATGTATGTGTTGGAGACCAGTGAAGGGCCAGCGGTCTCAGGCGGGATCCATCTCAGATGGCTGCAAGAGTTGAAAGTCAAGAAGAAGAAGAAAAAAAACCACAACTATTAGAACATGTGTGTCAAATAAACAAAACCAACAACAATAAAACATCTAGAACATTTAATACAACCTAGACCTGTCTATGTGTCTTTCTGTCGAATGAAAAACTACACTTTACAAAACACTTTACTACAATAATGTGCTTATCTTTTATGTCCTTTAGTCATTATCTTTCTTTACTGCTCTTTCTCGAAAACAGCTTATGATATGCATCTCTCATGAAGGTGGCACATTCTGACTAAATAAAAATACTTTAATGCCATACCTTACTATAGACCTGCAACACGTACTCCCTTTAAAAGCCTGTTATATATTACATTTTTGCTAAATCTGCACCAAAGTAGCGTTGATCCTTAATTTATCCTCTTGTGTTGGGTCGATTGTAACATGCTAATGATATCGATATTAATTCAAGTTGACTGGAATACAGATGCACTATTATTCCAACACTTATTCAAATGTGATATTAAATAATCCTATTTTATATAACCAATAATACATTGTTTCATCACACTTCAGTGTGTACAATGCAGCAGAAAAATGATTGAGTAGAAATATGATGTTGGGATGCCACCTAGTGTTTAATTATATGCACTTCAACCTGCTAACTGCATAATGGTAAAGAGCTCCATAGGAGGAAGGGTTGGCAGCGACCCAGGGTAATGCACCAAACCACTCTGTAAATGTGTCAGCCGTGTCTGACATCAACATTCATGAGCTTCAGGATCACAGTCACTGTCAGAGTGTAGAGTCTAGTGTCCTACTATTTCCCCAAACTCATTTTTTCGAAACAATAAAAATCAGAAATAATACATGAATGATGTGTTCAGGAAGGAATAGCAACTTTTATGATTAATAAAAGCTATTTTCTAAAGGTTACATTACCGCAAGCAAAGCAAGGCAGTATATCTTTAATCTTAAGGGAACAGGCTGTAACTGTGCTACCTATCTGTGCCACAAGGGTCATCTATTTTGAATGAGCCCACCTAGTACACAAATAAAATAAAAATATACACAATTTACAGCTTTATATGAGAGATAAGCATTTGGGTCGTTTCGGAGGACACTTTGCCACATCCTGTGAACATTGACCACGTCTCTTTGAGTGACAACACAAAAACTTTCTGGCACCGCTCTACCACTGTCCAATGACAAATGCAGTGTCTCCTGCTCACCCACACACACACACACACGCACGCACACCCACTTTCTGTCATTCCCACTGACAAACACACTCACACTCTCACCCTCTCTCTAATTTCCCCTGTGTCTCTGCACTGAGCTCACTGCAGTGCGACTTTCCTCGCTCACCCCCCTCGCCACCCTCTGTATAATAGAATATCGATCGCTCGCCTTTGCCGCAGTGTGTGAGCGAGTGTGTCTGTGGACGAGTGTGTGTCTGGCTGGGGCCCCTCCAAGGTCATCGCCATGGCAACCCGAGCACGGGGGTCCTCTCGCTGTGCTGTCACGGAGCACAGGTCACAGGGGTCACATGAAAAGGGGGACAAGAGGGGGGACAAGAGGGGGTTGGTGAGTGCTGCAGTGTTTGGTGGACTAGAGATAGAGCAGAGGAGCCACGAGGGTTGGAACTGTCCGACTCCACTATGGATTCAGACCCGCCCAGAATAATGACAAAATGTACAGACTTAAGTACTGAGGGGCCACTGAGTTCACTGCAACTCCTTCGCCGCGGATGCAAAAAAAACAGGAGACAATTGTAGTTCTTGACCACATAGAACAAACTACCTGAAATAATCAGAGGCAAAATACCAAAGAAGTGGACATCAAGTCTTTACATCAGGGGTTTATTGCACTTCCAGAATTTAAATACAAAAACACCCAAATGACATCACAATGTAAACATATGAATAATGAATTTCAAAAAAAAGAAAGATTTAAGGTTTACGGAGTAGCCTTCAGATCTGAATGTTGCAAACAGTTCTGACAAATATGCATACAGACACCAAAGTACCATATTATCGCCAATAAAAAACACTATTACTATGTACTGACCTTTTAAGATGTCGTCTCATCAACCTATCTAGGTTAAGTACACTATCTGAGGTACCAAATTTGTTTTTGTAACCTTTATTTTTCTTTGTGCATGATCATCTTAAAGCTTTAAACGGCACTTTTCCTTTGGAAAATTAATCTTTTTTCATAACAGTTTAGAATTGCAAACAATGCATTTACTGTATACATTATCTTTACATAAGAAAGCAGCCATCTTGTCCGATGTTTTGGATATCTACAGCAGAGACTAATAAGTTGAAAGATATGTCAGTTGATATGAGACGTTGCAGGAAGCAAAAGAATATTTGAAACAAACCAGAGGCATCCGAGGTTTAACATATGTAGAGAAAGGCAAATCATGTGTATGGTAATGTGCTTCAATACTTATTAACAAATGAATCTTCTGTGCATATGGAAGGTAATGTGTAGGAATGAGTCTGTAACAAGAACTATTTAAGAGGCAAGAAAAGGTGAATTCTAATACAGGGAATACAGGACACACGCATAGCTAAGGAACAGATCTAGGAGCAGTCCTTCCTCAACCCCTCTGGGCTAACGTGATAACAGGGTAAAAGTGATGACTGAGGGTTCACGCTGCTCTTCATACGGGCTCCATGAAGAGCTCTTCCAGATCAGATGGCTCCAGCTCACGGAACGCAGCGTGAGAGCCAATCACAAACAGCGTCGCTCCTGACAGGAGGCGGGACAAATGGAAAAGAGGAATGTGAATGGGAAAACACAGCGAGTGTCCATATGCATTTAGTTATATTTAGATGACCCTCTTACACAGACACTTTCATTGAATGGAGCAGTAGAATAGGATTTAATACTGAAATAATATCACAGTGCTCTGATGAGCATTGCAACAAATATTCCTGCATGAATAAGAATGGATTGCAAAAATAACTCATGTGGTTTGGCTCTGTTAATACTGTTCTTGTCAACAACAGGTTTAACAATTTTAGTCCTATTTTACGTGTGTGTGTGTGTGTGTGTTTCTAAATGTGCATTGTTTGTCTGATGTTGAGGCCTTCTGATGTTTTGTGACAGATGATATAGTCTATCTTATCTTATCTTACCTAGAACCCAAAAGACTGCAGCTCCAGCTCCGGCCAACCAGAACACAGGTAGAGAAATGGCTCCAGCCAGACCCGCCTGGTGAGGGAGATTCAGCTCCTTGCCTGGTTGACAAGAAAATGACAGATGATGCCACTGATAAAAAGGTCGAGGATGCATTTGATTTTCTGATGCTAGCCACGGATATGCATTTAATCTATCCTTGAATAAATTAACTTGGTTTCTTTGCCTGTCAAAAAATCCTAGAGAGGCAACATGACAAAACAAATTTAGTTTCAAACATTTGACCTCATTAAGACACATATAAACACAAAGGTCCATATTACAGTACGGTGCCTGGTATTTAAAGAATACACTATATTTGGTCGGTACACAATATTAATGGCTTTCAAGCTTTACTCACCCAGGAGAACCAGTTTGGACTCCAGGGACTTGAGGTGAATTATGTAGAAGGCACCAGCAAACACAGCCAAGGCAATCAGTAGCATGGGAGAGCTGACACTAAGGGGAAGAAATATCAAATTAACAATCAATTTGGTGTTAACTTATTGCAGCATTTCCAGATTTAGTGATTGTATATTTTACTTTTGATTAAATCTCACGCATATAGTTCTGTTCCCTTTTCTAATATAACCACTGGCCAAAACCCTCCAAGGAAGTTCCCGTGTGAATTGGTGCGGACCGTGTGAGTAAGAGCAGGAAGAGTAAACACTCCCGCTGATAAGACAACACAAATGATTTCCTCTCTGTTGGCCTTACATGCAGTAGAGGATGAGACCCAGGAAGATGAAGGTGTAGTTGCTGTTGAAAGTGTCCACGTTTTTTACCACCCTCTGACAGAACTCTCCAAAGTTGCGGGGTTTCGAAAACTTGCGTTGGTCCACGAAGCTGGCCCACGGTCGAATGGACGCCCGACGCCTGTCAATCCACTCTTTAGCCATACTGGGTGAGAGGCCTTTGGGGAGCCAGAGCCTAGGAAATAAGACAAAGACATTAAGAACTGAATACATAGAGAAGTATTAAGGAATTCATAAACAAGCCCACCATGACTAGAGTGTAAGTACCCATGTAGGCCCTTATAGGAAGACATTTGTGCAACATAGAGTCACAAGCCCTCATGATGAAAGCATTCTCACTAAAAATAACAATGTAAAGGTCTTTACCGTGCCAAGATTCCAGCTCCACCCGTGCCCGTTGGATGAGCAGCCTCAGCAATGAACATATCTCCAGCCTTGCTGTCCATGTCGACAAGACAGTTCTCCCCCGTTGGCGCTCCAGAGGGCATCTACAGACTGTCTGCTGCAAGGCAATAACACAAACAAACAATAGAATGAATACTCTTTGAATTTGTCAAAAAATAATAATAATTTCAAACACACTTAGTAGATTAATCAGTTCCCTCTTTATCAGATAATGAATCAAGTAAAGTTCAGATAAATAACTCATCAATTAAGCTATTCATTAAATAAAAAACCCTGTCATTTGATGGTTATAGCTGGTTATTGCTTTAGACATTTCAAATAGTTAGAGAGTAACAGTTAATCAATTATGAATGCTTGTTAGGTTAATATTTCACAGTAAAAGTACAAATGCTAAATCAATGATCAAGTGTAAGTAGTTAGTAACTATTTGGTTATAACAGCAGTTCATATGCCTACACGTCACATACATGCAGAATACTAACTAGAGTTAAATTAGTTGAGTGACTGAGTGGAAAACTCTCGTCATCAAAGGGCTTGGTCTCTGCCACATCACCAACGAAGGATACAAAAGAATCACTTATTATTAATCATTTATGAAGTAACTTGCATAGCGTTACTAAATGCATGTGACCTGCTATGTAACTCATAACTAAATACAAAACTATGTGCATAAAAGACAACTTTACGAGTTCAATAAGATTGTCACAGCTAGCTTCTCCGCTAACGTTCATGTCAATAAGTATCTATCCAGGCTGATAGACAGCTACGTATTACAATGTTACACGTTGAAGGACGCTTCCACACAAACACAAAGACCAGACCTGATTGAAGTGGAAACTCTATAATAAAGTAACATTTTATACTTACAGCAGAACTTTGGTAGGAATGCCTCAGACCTTTTGTTGCTGTTGTGGTTCACGGATGTGATGTGGATGTTATTTAACTTCCTGCTTGCTAGGTGCTAAACATCGCCACCTAGCGGCAGCAGCGGGGACTGCTCATCCTCTGCTCCGAAAGGTTCCAGTTGATGGTTAACACATTGAACTCTGTTTCTAAGTCTTCATATGTGGAAGAAAACTGGTACGACTATGTTTGTTTGTTTTAGCGACACAGCTGTGACAATACAATCAATACAGCAGACTTGAGATCGGCCGTGTCTTTGTCAGTTGTGCCGTTGATGCGGAGCTAGTAGACGAATCATCTGATTCCAGATCAGTGGAACTAAAAACGCGACCGGACGTCATCTCGCAGGCGGAGAGCCGTGATTGGTCCGTTCCTCTGTGTTATTGTGCTGCTGTCAGGACTGCTCGGTGCTGTGGGAGTTGCCAGAGACCATCCAAACCTCAATCGACCCATCAAACTCTAATAACGAAGAACGTGCGTTGTGAGGTATATTACACGTTTAAATCTCGCTCAAACCCTTTTATATTTACGTTGTCATTGATATCAAACAGGGCACCGCCGCGTGTAACAAACAAAGTTCTTAACCAGGAAGTAATATCGGTTGATTTATCTTTCCATAGTGAACGGAACACCTGTTTTTATATATATATATATATATATATATATATATAGTTATGTTAATACACCATGTTTGATGCTCGTTATAATGTGCATTTGGTCATTTTTTATGTTTGCTTGTTGTGTTGTTCTTCCTCAGAGCAACGTGATGACGTAACGTGAGGGGGTAATTTGCTCCAACGGTTGTTGCTGCTGAGTGTTTGATGAACGCCGCGGCTCTGCGACTTAGTAGGACACTCTGTGAAACGACGACAACAAAGCACGTTCACAGCTGACAACACTTTGCCTTGCACCGTTTCAAGACAGCGTCGAGCTGACTTCGTAAACGGGTAGGACTGCAGAGCTTACTGAAAGGGGCGTTGAACTATAAAGCGTGCATGGCGCTGACATGTTACCTTGTAAAGTGCACACAGCTGGCTGCTGGTTTTTGCTAAGCTAACTGTTAGTTTACGAGGGATGTGGCTTGCTGGTTTTGGCTGCTATATGTGTAGTTCAACATGACATGAATCATATGCTGTTATTTCGAGTGTTACCTGTTGAATAACTTGTGTTTTTTTATCCTGAACAGTTTGACACAGGTGGGAAGGTGGAGAGGGGGCTGTAGGCAGACCCATGGCTGCCGTGCATCACCCAGGGTGCCCACTCAGGGACTCTCTTTACTGGGATGAAACCGAGTGTCTAAACTACTATGGGATGTTGTCACTCCATGAGGTCTTTGAAGTCGTTGGTTGTCAGCTGACAGAGACTGACGTTGAAGTGTTGTCATTCCTTCTGAATGAAACCTGTCCTGCGACGCACCCTCTTGACCCGACAGATTGGACAGTTAAGCCCTGCGGAGGCGATCCAGACGACTTGGGTGTTTCCCCGAGTCCCGAGCTGCTGAAGGCTTGGATGCGGTTAAAGTCTCGGGGCTCCCAGCGTCCCTTAGCGGCCTCGTATAAGCCCAAGAGTGGCCTTGAGCTGTTGTTGGAGCTGGATAGGCGAGGGTACCTCAGTGATGGTAACCTGGAGCCACTACTGCAACTACTTAGAGTCCTCACTCGTCATGACTTGCTGCCTTTAGTGTCCCACAAGAAAAGGAGAACAGGTGAGGATGAAAGAAGGGGGGGGGGCTCGTTATCAGATTTTGAGAACAGGTGCTTCTCTCTACGATGGCCTTCCTGTCCAAATAATCACAGCCTGATAATTACTAACGCATGTTTTTTTTTTTTCCAGTATCTCCAGAGAGAATTGGACAGAGGAACAGGATAGAGAACAACCAGTCGGTGTGTGCTTCTGGAATGCAGCACAGCTACAGACAGACAGAAATACCTCATCCATATTTCTCGCAGCAGTTTAGAACTGGTATGTGCATTGTAGTATGTTATTTAGCTCACTGAGAGTATAGGCTACACTGTTCCCACAAACCTTTTAATCAGTTCAGGAGGCAGAGTGTCCAAAACAGCATTTATCATTCCTTACAACAAGTAGCATTTTGAACTGCTCTTAAAGCCAGTACCTGTTGTTTGGTGATGAGACATCTTTTCTGACATGGAAATGTAGTTTGTTCCATCCTTCTTTTGTGCTCAGAATGTACATGTACATTATTTAAGTTGAAGCGGTTTGCCCCGGGTCAAAATGATAATACACTCGGTTATAGAATCAAATCTAGTCAGTGGTGCCTGGTAATATACCATACGCTTGTGGGGAAGCTTGCATAGAAAGGATGAACATGGAGCAATTATTAACAGAAACAGGGTAGGACAGGAACAGAAATGAAACAGGACGATGGCAATTAAAACACAAATGAACCCCATCCATGCTAATGTCTCATTGTCTGAATTCCACAAACTAATTCCATGCATGTCCTGTCAGGTATTTACCCTCCTATGCCTGGTACGTTTGCTCGGAGGAGGAAGAAGAAGAGGGGGAACGGCTGGAGTCGCAGGCCCAAGAAAACAAGCAGACAGGGTCCGCCACTGCCTCCACCACCACAACCACACAAAGCCTTCTGCAGTAAGTGTAGTCCCCGCATTCTTAACCTATCTCTGTTTCAGCTTCTTATCGCTTGCCTTCTTATCTTCATCCTGCCATGTTCTCTTCCACATCATTTCCCTGTCTGTTAGCCATATGAGCTTCAATTTCATTTTCAATCAATGAACACCACAGTTTCTGTTTTGTCTCCTTAATTCTGATGTTTGTTTATGCTGAACCTCAGCTCGAGTTAAGGAGTTTTCATACCAATTTTCCAAATATTTTTTTACGTTTGTCATTACAAAAACGCTCAACCACCTTTCACGTCCAATGTTTTTTTTGAACTCCTGGCGTAAATTTGCGTTACAATGCAATGATTCATTTGTGTTTATCCGCTCTTTAGTGTAAAGAACGGGGAGAAATACGCATCACTATCACATGTCCAACCACTACTATCCAGTTAACCGTAAACACCAGCTGGCTTTACACCAGCCACACTAACACTGTTTAGACTTGCAGAGAGTGGAGGGAGTTTGGCTGCTGAATGTCAGCATACTTTGACTGTTAAAAGGCATCTGAACTACACAGCATCAAAATGAAGGACACCTTTGCCAGGTGGGAAAGTGTCTTTAAATCCCATTGTCACATTCACTGAAACACATCCTGACAGCTTCAGAAGGTACAGGTACATAATTATTATATTAATACAGTATGAGGTCTTTGTATCTAGCATTTGTACCAGACTTACTTGTAGAGATGCTTCAGTTACGCTTTGGTTTGATAACTCAATTTACTGTCTCATGGCCCCAGAAAGTCAAAACCTTATGCGATGTCTGTTCAGCCGATGCTGAGTTTACATCTCAAACACTTTGTCTGATTCACAACTTCAGGAAAAACGCATTTCACAACAAAAAGAAAACGGCTTGTACTTTCCTTTCAGTTGGCTTACAGCGGTTTCATGTGCTATTTTTATTGTCACGCTCTACGTTTAGAATTGCATTATATCTCTTTAACTGTCTTAATTAAACATCGGGTGGGGGTTGGTGTCGCTCCCTCCATTGCTCCATCTTTACATTATTTTCCCCTCATTTCACCTTTTCTCTAACCCATCGGACTATTTTCTGCTGCTGCTATTGATTTTTGTCCCGTCGCCGCTCGATGCAACCCTTGTTCGGCTTTTATTGTCAAGCTTGAAACAAAGTTGTCAACTGTCAAACCTCACATAATATATTCCTGAAAAAAAACCCCACCTTTTGTGTAGTTGATGGAAACAATCTAACTCCGCTGTACTCCATTATCCTTGTCCTTTCCAAGTTTCAACTATTGCCTGCCTCTTAATCAATCAATGCTAGTTTCTCTCAACACAATACGATTGAGATAACACTAACATCAGTTGCCTTTGTGTGAAGTTTGCCTAGTCATTCACACAGACCTTCTCAAACATTAGTTTGAACTTGCCTGTTGGTCAGACATACGTGTTACAGCAAAGGACTGATGATTCTGACCTGGTTAAAAAGGACAGCCCTGCTTAGCTGTGCAGAATGCATGATGTGCCTGTATGACCATAAACATGTCGCTGTCTTGACTCCACATTTGATTCCACCAGGTTGTCTCAGGATTGTGACTCAGATCGAGTAACCTAAGACTCAATGGATCATGGAGACAGAGGGGGAGGCTGCGGAACAAAACAAAAAAAGTCTGTCACTCCACTCAGTCCATAGATACCACAGTGTTTGCTCTCTCACAAGTCTGGGCCGATGCCTAAGGTAAAAGAGCCCCCCCCCCCCTTGTTACTACAGGGGTTGGGCGGCCAATTTGCTCTTTCTGCTTGTGGTTCATAATCTAGCTGCCCCCTCCCCCCTCAGGCATCGTAGTTCGCTGCTGAAATGAATCATCCTGTAATGTTCTTTAGTGTTGTGCACTGTGGATGATTCCTCATCTGTTTCTGACGAGGCTTGTTGGTGTCAGTGTTTCACAGAACTCAGCAGTAAGCTTCAGATATTTCCTAAACGTTTTCAGCTGATTTTGAAACGAAAATCTCTGGACAACTCAAAGTTTATTGGATCTCACTAAAACCACAATAATGGGGATATATGTAGAGAAAGTCTGTTTTACATTCCCTGGTTTTCTCTACACATAATATTCGAACTTGACACAATTTCACAAACATGGCCAACTGCTCCAGTGTCTTGGCAGGGTAGTCCGTGTCTTCACTATAGATGTACATAGTACAGGTGTTGACACTCGTTTCAGCCGGGTTACATGACTGTAAAGTAAGTCGATGAACATTTTTGTTACCCCGTTAGCATTTGAGACACTCGAACAAACAGTTATAGCTGTGCAGTCATATCCAGTGATCATTTTGGAAACTATTTTATATTTAGTCTTAAGAAAAAAATGCTAATAAGTTTTATTGACATTTCAGTCATTTATATCCTTTATAGTTTAAGTCGGCGACATCTCAAAACACTTCAGTCGCCGAAATTTCATTTTAGTCATAACTTCTAGACTACATCCACACGACTATGTTTCCAATTTCAAACGCATAGCTTACGTTTACGCCGAGCGTCCACGCTACTCTGGAGCTTTCAAACTCCACAAACGGAGGGGGTTTGAAACGCGACCAAAGTCGTGTAAGTTTGAAAACTCCGGGGTTACACTGTAGAGTGGACAGGCGACACCGCAGACCTTTGAAAACGATTGCGTTAAAGTAAATGGAATGTTTGTGTGTGTGAGAGAGAGATGGAGCAAGACCGGCATCCTAGTAACTAAGTTTTCCACGAAATCTGTCTGTTTGAGTATATAGAGGAAGATCTTCAGTATCAAGCCCTACCTTATATTATTGGAGTACTACAACACTCTGGTTGCTTAGTTATAGAAAATAAAACCAATGTATTAGTGTACATTGCTGATAAAGATGAGAACCAACCTTTACCAGCCAGATTAAGGGATTCACAATACTTCAAACTGAGCGGCTAATTGTTAGTGTATTCTTTTCCAATTGGATCCATTCTATTTTCTTAATTACTGTCAAATACTTGGTTAAAATGACAGTGTACTCAATGTGACCTGCCCATGTTAGAGGGGGCGTGTGCAAGTTGACAACACAAGTTTTGATTTAGCTTCATGGTTTGGGTTTTTAGTGAGGGAGAATCAATGAATACATTTAAGAGCTTAACTCTGAACAATAAAGCCCCGATAATAACCTGCAAAGACGAAAGAAAAATATGTTGGACATGTTTGTGAAGGTGCCACCTTTTGCCGCTTGTGGGAAACCTTTTTGGGCCATCCTTTCCTCTCTCACTATCTTCATTACACATGGTTGTAAAGCATCTGCCTTAAGATTCAAATCAACTCCATTCATTTGGGCTAACAGAAACGTCATGTCGGCCAGCTCTGAAGGTCTCAAGTTAAAAGAACAATGCTTATTGAGCATAGATACTCGTCCTTTCATAAGGACCGGTCCCGTAATCCATTTCAGAGAATCTAAAATGGCTGCCAACAGACGGCTGTTTCAAAAAAAATGCCCCGTGTAACCTTTCTGCTGGAGCAGTTCTGAGGAAAATAACCCCAACAGTGCTCTGCCGGAGGAAGCTCCTGCTGTATCTTATCTCTGTGCCCGGTGTCAGCTCTGGGTGTGCGCTTGTCAAGAGGGAGCAGAGATGGATAGGGCGGTTCAGTCCAATGCTGGCCACTAGCTTTTAAACAGACCTCAAACACTCTTTCTTGTCATGATTCATCTCTCAGATCATTTTCAGTGAAGTGTCTCAATTACATTCAGACAATGACAACTGCTGTTACAAATGGCCTGAAGGTGTTTGTACCCCTCAGCTCGGTGGTGGTTTTGTGCCATCTAAATGGGGTGCTTGAGAAAAGGCCCTTACTTGGTTTAATGGACATATTCGATTAATGTGGTGGTTGGAGCTTAAATAATGGGTCGCTGAAGGTGAGGGTAAGGGGATTGGTCAAGGTAAGTGTAGTCCCAAGCATCCCACTTAGACGCTACCACGTTATATTGTAGAGCTACAGTAAAAGCTGAGCTGATTAACTTGTCAGTACCAACTATTGCCCTGACTTGGACCTCATTACAACTAAGAGTAGTGAGTGCTGTGCCATGTCTGCTTGATGTTGAAAAAAAAAAAAAAGAACGACCCAGTCGACACATGTCCAACCCACTTGTGCTTGTCTCTCTTTCTCTCTTTTCTCTCCTTTTCTCTGTGTTCACAGTTCTAAACAGACCAACCTGTGTCTCAGGAAAACAGTATCCTTACACACAATCAGAAGGAGAGAACGAGCTCTAAAAGATCAAACTACGCAAAATGGTACAGAGTGATTTTTGTCTATGGGAGGGGGGAAGAGAGAGTTCTGTCTGCCCGTCTCTCAATACGCCGCTAACTCTCCACTCTCTTGGTCAGTCATTCAGCAGAAAAGCGGATCGATAAAGAGTTGGAGCTCTCCGTGCCAAGTGACTCCTCGTAAATGGGTACTTAAACTTTTTATTTTTTTTTGGTGGGGGTGAGCTGGACGAAGCCGAACGGGCTTGGTGTTTAAAGGGAGAAGATGAAAGCTGTGCCTCCTAATGTCCTGTCTAAGTGGATGTCTCTGTGTCTGATGAAGCGTGAAGTGCTCTGTAACCCTAACAAAATGACTATCATGGTGTTCCTGTGCTTTTAAATGGCCTTCTCCTCAGTGCCGCTATCTCTACCTCCATCCTGCTCCGTATGAAATGGGGAGGCAGAAATGGAGGCCATCCATAAATACAGTAATTGCATGAAGGGCGGTTGTTTGTCATAGCCACAGCCCTCACACAGTATAATGATCCAAAAGGTCGAAACTGTTAACAGAGCTGTGACTTAATATTTCATACTGAATATTGTGTAAGAGTTCAAAGAGTTAGTTGACACGCAGGTATATAGACGCCCTATTAGACACTTTGTGATAAATAAGAGTACTGAAATACTTTTTAAAAAAGTCCAGAGTCTGCTGATTTGTCAATATTCTTGCACGGATATTGTACAACAAAATCTTGATTTGCAACATTGAATCACAATGTATGCATTTTTGACTCTGATTAAAGGATTAAGACTTTGTCAATGTGAAAACAAATCAGCACAAATTCACAGGTTATTATGCTGAAAGACTGTCACAGCTCTCCTGCAGACTGCAGCAGGTTGTTGCTCCAGTATTCAGTTTAATCTCTACGTTCTCAAGCAATACAGGGCCTGCTGCAGAGAAGCACCCCCGCAGCATGATGCCGCTACCATCACACTTGATTGTGAGGTTAGTTTATTTCTGTTGATGAGCTGTGGCTGGCATATGCCAAACACAGAGGGATGAGACATATCTTTTTAATGCTGATTTCTCTGCACCTGCCTTACGGGTTGTGTGCACAGTGTCTCCCATCTCACAGTTTTCATAAGCCTCTCGGGGGGGGCCATCTTTAACCAGTTGTTGTACCCTTCTTTAGACCGATGTTACCAATCAGGAACAGCCGCCATTTTGTTTGCAATGTTTGTCTTCATGGTGAAGTTTTTGCAATGAAGTAGACTTGCTGGCTGTCAGCAGTCCACTGTTAATCAATGTTGTAAAACAATAAAACGCCAAAAGAGGGGGATGAATACTTTTCTGAGGACAGGTGTTGATGTATGAGTATGACAAAATAATGTACTTGTATCTCTATGTATTGTCAATTGATTGACCTGAAGAAAGGTTCTTACAGACTAATATTAGTAATTTAAGACATTGTAATAGAGATGGGGTTTAATCATTTGTCAAGTAACAATCAAATGTCTGATTCCTGTAAAAAAGTGTTTCATATTGCCTCTATGAACAAAAACAATTTGCCTTTTTTTGTATGAGCTAATGTAAATTGAATGGTCTTCAAGTCTTCTCCCCAACCCTGCATGTTTTAAACATTTCCCAAACCCCATCGATTAAGCGTCCCTTTTGATCCAGTCCTCTGTTTTTATAGTAATCTAATTACAGCCTAATGAAGCTTGAATGCAAATGCCAATGTTTGGTCATCGGTCCTAGAAATGTTAAGACATGCAAGATCAATGCCTTAATTCAACACTTGCATTTCTAATGTTGACATTTTCCGAACTTTATCCCTCTGGAGTCTTGTGTCATTCTCCGTAGCGCCAAACAAAATATAAATGGGTAAACGTGACTTATGAGTTGAATCATGTATCAGTGGGTTCATCGGTACTTTGTAGTGAACCAGGCACAGACCTTGATGAGTAAAATGTATTCCCATCAGAGTCACAAGTATGAGCTTTAACCACATAACTCCTGGTCTGAGTGATGCAACTGAATACTCCTTCGCTCGCGCTAACGTGAGCTGTCGTTGTGCAAAATCGCGGCATCGTTCAGAGGCCACGCTGAACGCGATGACACTACTTCAGGAGTACAGGAAGTCAGATGGCGGCTGGCGGTAGCACGTTTCCGCACTCTGTGACTTACGTTACCGCAGTTTTCACAAGTGGTTCTGAGAATTACGGTAAAACGTAAAAACACGAATTGTCTCGCTAGAGCCAGTGTTTGGTTTGTCCCTTTTGGGCTGCTGTAGAAACATGGCGCTGCAACACGGCAGGGAAGGGCTCATTCTCAGCTCACGAAAACAATGATTTTTAGTTCCAGGTGATTAGACGCTAAATTAAATGAAAACACAGTTATGAATATTTAATTTAATTTGTGCTTTTAGAGCCCTTGAAATGCTGCACACTGGCCCCTTTTTAGTCCATTGTTTTCAAACGCTTGATGGAGAGCAGCCAAGAGGTTTGGGTTGGTTTTGGTTTTTCATACCAAGAGATGCAAATGTGGCTTTAAAACTGCTTGGAAAAAAAAAAATGCTCCTACACACCGTTGCAGTGAGACGTCGATGAGAATGTCTCCAGGGAAATAGATGTTCGTAGATACTGTTCACCTCTTCTAAAGGTGTTTGAGTGGGAGGGATGGATTTTTGTTGCAGCAAAAGTCGTCAGCCGCTGGTTTCCACTCGAAGCTCTGGAATAATGACACGGGGGACGATCTCAGCGGTTCTCTTACTCAGTACAGTATGTATGTATCCTCTGATCTTTCTCGCTGCGCTGTTGCATGACCACCAATCCTGTTACTGCCGAACTCCAGCACTGAACTGTTCTCTGCAATAAACATGTTGATAGGAATGAATCTGCTGGTTTTTAAACACCGGACTGGGAGCAGAAAGCCACTCCAGGGCTCGACACTGCTAAGTTGCTCTCATTGCTGCCACCACGATATTTGTTCAGGGGCGTGAAGTTAACCTCACTGAACTAATTACAACATGAGTTATGTAGAGCATGCAGGATGTCACACTGAAAATCCTCATGCATCAGTTTCTGTTGATCACTGGCAGCCGTCTAGTTAACAGCTGACATGGATTTTACCGAGGAAGAAAAGGGACTACACCACTTGTTCAGTTGCAAAGTATTTCTCTCAGTGCTCCAAAATATCAGACTTTCAAACCTGTTGCAGAAGTCTTTAGCACAGAAATGCACGCAGTCTGATTGATCGAGCTCCAGAGCCTCCCATAGTTAGTGTTGTGCCCTGCTGCCCCGTTATATTTGCACTTGTCAAAAACAAAGTATTTCAATGTACAATGTTTGCAGTCATTTTCTCTGGTCTACAATGTTTTTGTGGGAACTCTGTGCTCCTGAACCCTGTTTTTTTTTTTTTTTTTTTTTTTTTTTTAAATCCCTGCTTCATGTGATGCACTATAAACTAAATGAGGTGTCTGTTAATGATTTGTCTTGTCCGTTTCTCTTCCCTTTGTTTTCCTTTCATGACCCATCCCCTCCTGTCTGGTACTGTGCGTGGGCCTGTCTAATATGACACTTTTTCTGTAACCTTTCCTCAACCTCCACTACTCCTCCTTTTCCCTCCTTCCTCACTATACCTTTTGCCTTTCCCTCTTCATTCACTTCCTGGCCCTCTTCACTCCCTTTGACTATTTCACTCCTCAACTCTCCTCCACCACGCCGTCACCCTTATTTTTCCACCGCTACTTCCTCTTCCATTATCAGAAATCCGCCTGCGTGTCCGGGCCGAATACCTGGAGCATGATTCGGCACTCCGCGAGGGCGTCTCATCGGACAAGCGGCAGCCCCTGGAGCGTCAGTTCGAGTTGTTCAGCAAAGCCAACTCGCTGCTTCGTGCCAGAGACCTGGGTTCCATCGTCTGCGACATCAACTTCACAGAGCTGGAGAACCTCGAGGCCTTCTGGAGTGACTACCTGAGCGGAGCTCTGCTGGAGGCCCTGAAGGGAGTCTTCATCACGGACTCCCTGCGGATGGCAGCAGGCACGGAGGGCGTCCGCTTGCTGATCAGCGTGGACCAGGATGACTACGAGGAGGGCCGAATGCTGCTGAGAGCTAGGAGAATGTTGCTGTCTAGTACTGGTGGGAGCACAGAGACTCACTGGGCAGTATAGGCTGATAAGACTCTTTGGGGTGTATTCTATTAACTTTGCAGAATGGAATAGTTGGGAATCATATTTTGAAGGTTATGGTTACAAGGCCTCCTTTTGTAGTTGCAATCAATGTAATAACCACTAGATGGCAGCTTTCACCATCGGTTGTTTGTGTTCACAGCCAGCCTTACATTTTCAGAATTGTCTGTTTTTCGTTGAAACATTACCTTTTTTCTTTGTGAAAGGACACTGAATAATAACAGGTGCTACTGTGTAGGACCCCAGGATGAAACGGGATGTATCAAGATCTTTCTTCTTAGTCTCAGTGAGAACAGGAGCAAGCAAGCCTGTGCCAAAAGAAGTGGTAAGCCCCTCATAATATTATCAATCTTAAATAAATAAGGTTAAGACAACTGATGTGCCACAAATGATAGAAAATAACTCGATAGCTACATAGTGTTGACACCTGCTCCTGGTTACAGACACGTTTTAGACTACAATATACACAGGCATACATGCACACAGACTAAATGGGCCACAATCACAACTCGTCATCAAGCATTTGTCCACCTTTTATTTTGCCCACATTTATGCACAGATGTTGGGCATTCAGATTCCAAGACGGCTCTTGAAGCTCAAAATGGCAGCGGACCCCTTTACCCAACTAAACATGCCTCACCGATAGTTTGGTTTTCGTTAGTTTGTTGAACTTGAAGAATAACGACAATATTACCTGGCACTTCCTCTTTATGAAAACAAATTCAAAGGTCAAAGAAGGTCAAACAACTTTCTGATCTTTAAAGATGTGTGAGAGAACTGAGCACAGATGGAAAAGTGGGCTTCTCTCAGTACAGATTGACCTTTGTGTCCAACTTTGGAGAGCCTAGCCCACGCAGATACACCTAGATAACAAACACTGGGATTCTCAGCACTGTGTGCCACGATAACCCGACTTGTGATTGCAGTGGTCAGTGGATACGGCTGTTGCCAGTAGATGACAGCAGTGATTAGGGCTAGGCCTCAGCAGACCATGGAAGATTCATCATCCCAAGCTTGTCAACAGCGACCCGGATAATACAATGGTGGCTTGTGTCCGGGCTTCCAGCTAGGCCTCAGCAAGTGCTTCTCTCAGCAAGTAAAGCGCAGGACAGTGCGTCGGTCAATAGAAGTGATGTTGGGGAGATCAAAATCAAAAGTGCACATCCCAGCTCCACTCAGCCCTGCTATGTAGGCCCAGTAGAGTGGCTCACGGACAGCTGTCTACTCACCCTGCTGGAACTAATGCCTGGACTTCATTCGTGGAAGACGATCAATAGGGCCGCTCCTGTAAGTCCCCCCCCATACAGGCACGACTTAAGCAGGCAGACTTGCTACTGTCTGAAGTGTAGGGCTCTCTGAAGGGATAGGCAGAGGGAGCGATGATGTATTATTATCATTCTTATTCTTATTATTATTATTATTGTTATTATTACTATGACTGTATTAGTCATACCAGGGAAAAAACAACTGATTCAGGGGAACATCTTAGTTAAAGAAAAAAATATTTTTGTGGAAATGTTTATATATGAGATATTATTTGTGGTGAATAATAAAGGTTTGTTTGCCTAAAGCTGTTTTTGCACATTGACCTTTTATTGTATCATAATTAAAATTTCAAAAATGTTTAATCTTTGCTGCCAATGTATTGCAAGAGAAGAAAATTCTGGACGTGTATATGTGTGTGTGCGCTGCTCGTGATCTTCTGAAACGATGACGATGATAATACTTTATCGTCGAATCAAGTCTTGAGTTTCTTGCATCACAGCTGCTGTGTTTGCAACAAAGACGATCGTTTAAGACAAGAAAGAGGGACACGTACATTTAATATAACTCTTATCTCTTTGTCTCACGTTTTGTTGTTATTCTTGTTATTTTTTTCCTCAGTTTTCTGAATTGTCATTTTTCCCGGTCCTACACCCTCCGTACCTCCGAGTGTGCCCTCTTCCTGCCCCCAAACGGTCTGAAGAGGTCCATCGAATGCAGGTCACCGTGGATCAGATCCTTAATTATTTCTCCTTGCTCTAAAGCTGTCGGCATGTTGAAACCCAAGAATGGTGTGTGTGCTTCGAACATCTTGTCACATTACCCACTCTTGTGCTACATGGTCTCCCTTTTACCATTCACCGGCTTGAATGCTTAGTAATCACAGTGTACGTAATGGCTCTAAACTGCTGGTTTGACACTTTTTTTTGCCAGACAATTGGCTGCCGTTTTTATCCACACAATAACAGTGAAACATAGCCGAGTTGTCAACGACTCTTACCAAAACCAAAATGAGTGATGCCATAGTAAAATCTATTTTGTGGCTGCCTCCAGTGCAGTCTAGTAGATCTGAGATTGTGTGCTTCTCTGTCAACTTTTATGAGAAAATTGATGTTGTGCTTTCCTCGACATTATACGTTCATGTAGCTTTGTAGTACAAAGATTATGGCATCTCAGACTCTAATCATGGAGGGCAAAACTAAAATGGGAGCGTTTTGTGTTTTTGAGTTGAGGATGTTAAATTAATATTTACATCGGAAATATTGATACAAGATATAGCAGGGATGAGTTAATATGTAGATTGTTTCAATGTAACATTAAGAAATGCTTGTTTCTGGATACATACACGATAAGTCCTGATATTGAGTGGAGTCTTTGACTTATTGCTGGACCTCACATGATTAGGTCCTCTGATGTAGACCAACACAGTCCTCTAGCACATGAATAAATAATGTAAATGTCGGCGAAAGGGCACTTTGAAGAGTCGCCTCATTTCAGTTGGAAATCCGAGCGAGCACTCTGTACCGGCACAGTAATGAGTGACTTTCTTTAATTAGCTATTAATGGCATTTTAGCCGAGTGAATGCTCCTCAAAAAGATACATTAACTCTCAAAGACGCAGGGGAACAAACATATATGATTTATCATTTATTTATTGTAATCATTTATCTATTATGTTATATTTGTTTAATCCAATGTACACACAAACTGCAACCATCGATGCTAAATTAATTTAATTTTTTTATTGATATTTCAGGGCTCATTCTTGTTGATTAAGTTCTGCTCTTAGAGCTTTCATGTCCCTTTCATTTTAAATATTTAGTGCACTGTTCCTCACTTGTCACTTGCTGACTTAAAAACACCATTATTAGGTCAGTTAGGAGCACTCCGACCACACCCGCCCGTTAAAAATGCTGCAGAGGGTACAAGTGAAGTTTCATTATTGACTTGCCATCATGGAGAACAATAAGCGGGACCAACCCTCAGGGAAAAACCTGATAGGGCCGCTTCTACCCTGTTCAGAGCGGGCCTGTTTGATGGCCAGCTAAACTGCCCCAGGCCTGCCTTGGGGAAAAGTGAGATTTTTGTGAAAGCCCAGTTTTCACCACACCCAGCCTTAAAGCAAGACCAGCGATGTGATGCCCACAGGGAGACCCAGGCACTCTGTCTGAGAAGTCTGCAAAACTACAGAGATCCAACTCAAAGACTGCTGCCGTGTTGCTCCTCTGAACAATGACTCCCTCTTGGATGACCCTGCCACTATGAGAGATTTGTTTGTCAAAGAAATTGGGGCGCATATCTGGAGCACTCAGGAACATTATACTCACAAATATCCAAGGACAAGGCACAGGTCGAGCATCATGGACCAGTCCCTTCCTTCCGACAGACTGCCCTCTTCTAGAGGAATCGGATCTCTGGAGGTCTTCGCTGAGGTGACTTCATCAGACGAACCCAGCTCTACACCATACTGACATTTCTTATTTCATCTGGCTGTAAAACTTAAGAAATGATGCTGCGGCCACTGCATCACTTTCAGAAATGTGTCTCCTAGAACAGATCTGTGCAGAAAGCTTTCCACAATCTCCCAATCATGCTGGATGCCTAAAGGTATAGCAGCAAACAACTATTTGCTATGTAAAGATACAAGTGGAGTGATTTCTACGTGAGCAGAGAAGTCCCTCTCGGCCGGCCTTGCGTGCTTTTTAGTGCATGTAAGTGAGCCCCCTCACAAAATCTGCCTACCAGCAACTGTGAAGCAAACTAACTTAACATTCTGTATTGCGTTTGTTTAATCCATTCAAAAAGCGAAGTGTAAAAATTACAATTTGTGGTTTCCATGGGGGTTATAGGACCATTTCTTGGCCGGACGCAGTTAATTAGTAATATATGTTGGTGGATATTATAATCTTTGGACACAGCCAGGCTTACTGCTAACCCTTGTTTCCAGCCTTTATCCTAAGCGAAGATAACTTAATACCTACAGACATGATCAGAAAAGTATCAAAGTGTATTTAGGCTTTAAATAACCCCCTCATTGTCCAAAGTTACAATACTCAAGGTAGAACAAGCCACAGCCGAAGCGATGTTTCGAGTCCGTTGGGCACAGGGGACCCCATGGATCCGCCCATCTTCCCGGCCTGCTACTGACCCCATCACCACCGCCACAGTCGCCCCTCCTCTACGGCTTCAGCACAGCAGCAGCTTTCGGCCAATGGGCTCCCTTGATGCCTCGCTGATCTACATCCAGGTCAAAGATTCCACAGATGGGGTCAAAAGATCCCGTTGCTATGGTGACGGAGCCGGGGCAGGACAGTGGCGATGCAGTTGGCTGTGGACCAAACAACCAGGGGAAGCAATGGTGAGAGAGAAGACCTATGTTTGAGACAAAATTGCAAATAATAAAACCGTATTGTTTTTTTTTAATGAAGCGATCAGTTGTGTGTTTTCACTTTCTATTACCAGCAGTAGGAAATAACTTGGACTCAAATATAAAAAGCGGCCCTTATTTTTTATTTTCTTTACACCAGAGCACACTGAACATTTGGTGAGGTGACTGTTCGGTTTATTGCCTAAAACACTTCACAGAGACACCAGAGGTGGTCTTGTGTTCCATAGTGCAAATTGTATTGGGTGCAAAAAGCTAATGTAATGCTGGGTTGTGCGGCTGGACACCGGCCATCATCTTCCTGTAGACTTTATTCCACTGTCCGCAGGTGTTCTTCGCACCTCCTTGATTGGATGGAGACTCAAGTCATCTTGTGGCAGCTCAGGCCTAAATCAGTCTCCTATCGAAACGTGTCATCTAAAGCTGATAGACACTACAGCCGTCTGCCGGCCCACTGGGGCTGCCTTTATTATATGTATACCCTGCAGCATATGGTACATCTCTCTGATGGGGGACATTCTATGGCTTTTATTGAGGGGAGAAAATTAGATTAGGTGATCTTCTCGAAAAGCCTTCTTCCTTGGTTTACCTCTGCACCGTGTGGGGTTGTAAAGCTAGAAGTCGGTCGCAACAGATTTCAAAAGAGAGACAACACATGAGCACATTTTTCCCAAATATATATAAAAAAAATGAAATGGAATTAGTCAGGCCAATTGCTTAATTTGTAATGATTAAGCAAGAAATTCAAATGTATATGTCAGTGTATGTATTCCTTATCGAGTTATTCAATCAGATTATTTTCCATCCGTACAAAATCTGGTGGAACTGGCTTGGTTAAGTCAAATCAGACCCGTTGCATTGGTATCCAATTCACCATGCAATCCATGGTTACTAGAGAGCCACTGTTAGTTTGTGAGCATGCAGAAGGTCGGCTGGTTTCTTCTTGCTCACGCTGAGCAGGAAGGACTGTGTTTTCTATGGCCTGCAGGTGGCAGCATATTGAGGAATCACCAATTTGAGGAGGCCTCATATTCAAAACATCAGAGCCCCCTGCTGAATATCCACCATGTCATATCAGGACCATCTGCCATGTCATGAAGTTACTGAACTTGTAAAACCTCCCATGACACAGAGAGATTTTTAACTTTATGGTTTCTTTGTACACACTCAATGACATTATTATGCAAACAACCCAGGTCACACTGGGCCCTTTAAAACATCTTGTAACTAAGTCTAGAAATGAGCTCCATAAATATCACACTGGCAGACTGGGGACAACATAACATGAGGTCTGCGCAGTGATATTTAATCTTCGAAATGCCTCTAATTGCTAATTACCTCAGATGTGTCATGGTTCCCTCGTTGCACTTCAAACGACCGTCTCGCCTCGCTCCCTCCTTCCCTGTCATGCACGCGCCTCTTTCTCCTCAGCAGCAGCACCACAGCCACCGGGTCGCCATGGAAACCGCGGAGGGACACGCGTCGAGGGTGAGAGATGGCGAGAGAAAGAGGGACAACGATGGACAAGGAGAGAGAGAGAGAGAGAGAGAGAGAGAGAGAGAGAGAGAGAGAGAG